ACGTCCGCCACCTTTTTTAACGATGTTGACTTCGCCGTCATCTTCCCGAAACACGCTTGCCTCAGAATCGCCACAGCGATTACGCCACCGGTCATTACCGTCGTGGTGGTCGCGAAAATTGTTGCGCTGGTTGCGGTGATCAGAATTGTCGTTCCGACCACGGTTGTCGCGGTAGTCGTCGCGGTGTGGGGGGTGGTCGGAGCGTGGAACCCTTGCTTCTTCTTCGATGATTATCTTTTTAGCATCATCGGCGTCCGCATATTTTTTAGCCGTAGCTAGGAGCGCCAGGACCGATTCAGTCTTTTGCGGAGGAGCTTGTCCCTTAGGGCATCGTGGAAGCGGAGACCGATGATGAAAGCTTCGATTGCCTCGTTGTTCGAGATTGATGGGACCTTGATGTGCATCTCCGAAAAGTCCAGACGTACTTTCAGCAGAGAGCTCATCTTTGCGATCTCGAATCCGCTGCGAGATCATATTTGTTGCCGGGTTGTTCGCAAGTAGCAATGAAGTTGTCGATGAATGCTTGCTTGAGCTCGCCAAGAATCAAAGTAGTTTGCTTGCAAGCAAGTCGACCAAACCATTGGTGGCTGCATGGCCCGACGGCGATCGGGAAGTAATTAGACATGACGTGCTCGTCGACCATGGCTGATCTACACGCTGTTTCGTGAGAGCATGACCCATATAACTCGGGTTCTCCTTGCCGTCCGTATTTCCGGAGTTTTTCGAGCTTGAAGTTTTTGGCCACACGACTTGGCGAAGGTGAGTGAATCGCTTCAAACCCGGAGGGCCGTGGGTAGTATCATATTCCATACGGCGATAGCTTTAAATGGGATGCACGATCGTTGGCTCTTTGGTTAATGCGATCGCGCGATCGCGTTCTCCGAGGGAATGGCGGAGATCGTTATTGCCATCACGGCGATCCCGATTGCCACCTGGTTGACCCAGCGACCGCGGGTTATCACGGGCGATTGTCGCGGTTGTCTCGCCGATTATCGTCCCGGTTGTTGCGCGGTTATCGTCCCGATGAGTCGTGGCGGTTGTCGTCCCGACCATCATCATGACCACCGCTTCCGCCTTTGACGGTTGTCCGGTGGGTCGTTGTTGCGCGAGCCACGCGTTGGTTGGGTGGTCAGGGGCGACTTGAGTAATCGACGATCGCGGCTTGATTCGACCGAGACGACGGAGCCCCCGGCTTGGTTTGCAATCTCTGCGATCCGGGCTATAGTAGTCGCCGTAGGCTTGTACATCATCACGAATTGCCCGGATTTACGGGGTATTGGGTAGCCGCTTGCATTGTCGCCATAGCAACAAATTACGTTGGCGCTTGGAGTCCTCGAGACCCCTTTTCCCCTACCCTATCAAAGGCATTGTTGAGATCGCGTGGCTGGAGCCTTATGCGTCGTGCCTCGTCTTCTGCCTCGGCTTCGGCTTGTCTGCGATTGAACCGGTCAATATTGCGTGCTTCGCGTGCTAGCCTTTCTTGTTCTGTTTCGCCAACTGCCGGGGGTTCGTCATTACTGACGACATTGATCAAGTCTCCTCGCCTTGGTAGGAAGGATGGGAATCGTGGGAAACCCGGGGAGTGGTCTGGGATATCCAAATCGTATTCAACTTCTTCATCGTCACGATCTTTGAGCTCGCGGTGGGCGGAGCCATTAGATGCAATGTTTGGACGGGGAGCTTGAGCCGCCTCTTGAACTGTGGGACCGATCCTTCTTGATACTCCTCAATCCGAACCATGTTGACGGTTATGCGTGGCTTTGGCCGAGGTCGATGTATAAAACACGATCCGAACAGGCGTTGTATATTGTACGCGTAGTTGGAAGCGGCGTTTAAGCTTGCAGCCGTAGGGTCGAGCACTGTAATTCTCCATCAAGGCTTCGCACTCGGAGAGCCGGAGACCCGTTCATGGGGCCGGTCGGCTGACGAACAGGCGCCTTCCGAGAGTAGACGTGACCACGAGATCCGTCTCGAGTCGTGCAAGACGGTCGCCCGAGCCGGTCGGGTAGATCTGTTGTGGGTAGTGGTTACCGCTTTCGGTAGGCTGATTTTGAATCGAATCTACCGAGCTAGGGTTTCAAAGAGTTTGGTGCCGACCGATCGATGGAGTCGAGTAGGTCGGTGTTGTCGATCTGCCTCCCTTTGTAGCGAGGAAGCGAACGACAGGTTGTCGGCGTGGCTGAAGACGATGCTGGTGTGGCCGGAGCCAGATCCAAAGTGGTCGGAGCCGTAGCCGATGCTGGTGAAGCAGTGGTCGACGCAGATTGGATCTGCGCTTCCTCCGTGGTCATGGCAATGAAGTTGTCGGAGCCAGTGGTCCAGGTGATCTGGCCGATGGTGAACGTGAGGCCGTTCGGCGTAGCCATGGAGCCGGGATGATGACCATCTTGTTCGTGCGGGGAGCAAAGACGCACCCCCTCTACCTAAGCGCCATCGCACCGTCGATTTAAATATGATCGATAGTCTACCTAGGGGTATGCCCAATGTAGTAGATTATCGGCAGACAAAAAGCAAGCTACGAACGAGATGGTGACGCAAAGATGACCGCGAGGTTTTATCTGTGTTCGGCCGCCGTGAGGGCGTAATACCTACGCCTGCGTCTGATTGTATTGTTGTATGTAAATGAGATGATTTCTGAGAGGGGTCCCCTGCCCGCCTTATATAGTCTGGGGGCAGGGTTACAGATCTGGAAACTAATCCCAACCGGTTACAATTGCCATAGGTGACCGGATAAGGATTCCTATTCTAACCGACCGATACAATCAGACGCATAAGGATGCCACTGCCACCGTCACGTCTATGAGCCAGGCTAGACTTTTGCCAAGAAATCACATGACAGTCAAGCACCCCATGGCGAACAAAGGCCGGCATCGTACCATACCTGTATGTGTACCTTCAGTCGAGTACGGGAGCACGGCGCAGCAGATGGAGCTGCCACCGAGCACCAGGGCCGCGTAGGCGAAGCCGGCCGCTAAAGGCCTGTCGAGGGCGCAGATCTAGTCAAGGGATGAGGAGCTGGCCACACCCGGCCTGCACTATCGGGGGACGCAACCTTGAGGCAGTTGCCGGCGTCAACGCTACAGCACTGCCGTTCTCCGCCCGGACATGCATGGGATGCACCCTGGCCAGGGAGCTAGAGGAGTCTACCGGCCCAGCCACCAAACGCCTAGGAGGAGCATGTCGGCAGGAACCGTGAATAGTTCTCTCAAGCCACCGGCAGATCCGGCACAAGGAGGACTGGATCGAGTCCTGGGAGCTCCGGATTTGCCAACATCATGGCCGCAGCACCCACCCTGCACGCTGAAACACCAGCAAGAAGGAGAAGAAATGAGAGGGGAGGAAGGAAGTGCAGATGCACACCTTTTTTCAGTGACAGTGCTGGCTGCCACCGCCGCGCGGACCTGCGACAGCGGTGGCCGGAGGTGGAGGCTATGGTCAAGTTTTTGGGCAGTGGCGGCGGCCCTCCCGTCGCCCTGGGAGGTGACACGGAAGGATCCTAGTGGAGTTAATTGCTGAGGAGCCTATCAAATCACCTGGGTTAATCCCACATCTCCAATGTAGCATCCCAAAAATAGTTCACATTTGGGCAATGTTTCAAATAGGTAATGTTAAACAATGTTCTGGTATCTCATTTTATTCTATCAAATATCAATCATCCTTTGACAAAAATATCATCTCTTTCTGAAACAGTGAAGATTTGGATACGTTGACATGCCATTTGGCACTTCTACACTTCATTGATTAACTGCTTTGATTCCAAGACTTCTACACATTTGAGCTTTTGCTGTTTCTTTCTTATAATAATTAGTATTATTTTAAAATGAATATGACCTCCATGGATACATTTGTTAGAAAATAATCAACGTGCGGAATCACTACTCCAAGAGTGTCTGAAAGTGCACTGTTTAAAATATTACTGTAACGTTAAATGTGTTAACCTTCGATGCTTCTCAAAACAATACACAACCTAAGTACAACATAATATTAACCTAATAATTTAATAATATGGTCAAACTCAGTGACTAGAGACTGCTCATAGTTACAGGAGATATTATGTGATCAACTTATACCAAAGGTTTTCATTCTGAACACAAATAGGCATATAACATAGAGTGCAAAGCTTTCCTGAACATCTTGATAGTTTTGGAGAATTAGTTGGTGCGTAAATTCAATGTGTGAAATAGTCAGAAGTCCTGAGTTTGCAAAGTAAACTTTATTAAGTTCAATAAAAAGTAATTGGACCTACTTTCAGTTCACACCATAGGCTTAAGGGAGGCTGGATGTAACCATGGGAGATTCAAAGCATATTGGCATATTTTCTTGACAGTTTTAGCTTTTCATTATAGAGTCTAATCTCAATACTTCTATATCAAAATTCTTAAAGAATTTGTACAGTTAAACCATAGAAGACACACCACATTATATTGAAAAGATAATTTAGATAGAAGTCACTACTTGAAGAAATCTCTGGTATCACTGTTATATATAACAATCAAATAATAAAAGAACTACAACAAAGGGGGTAGGTTAGAGAAGGATCAATTCTGAATCATAAATTCATAAGAATTTTGGATCAAATATTACAGAATAGTATGAACTGTCAATAGCAAAGGTGCAAAACCTTTATTAAATGTTTTCAATCCATCTAACTGCAAGCCATTCTAGCAATTAATGCAGAAATGTGATGAAGAAAAACAAATGGTTCTTCTGGTTCCATTATTTTTCCACAAAGACAAACAATGTGATAATAACATAAAAAAGTTCATACTGTTGGATAGTTAGAAAATATAACATATGATCATAAATCCAGTACTTAGATCAAAGGTACCCACCCGGCTTTACAAGAAAGCTTAACAGACATGTTATAACCCATTTATTCGACCACTTAAACCCTCTATTATCACAGACTAACTCAACCACAAAAGTCAGAACTCAGTACGAGAAAAGGGTGAAAGAACAATACGGAATTTAGTTTGATATTGACATACAGCGAAATATACCTGTGCCAACTGCAACCAAAGGGTATGTATAGCCTGGAACTGTTAGTTCCCGAAGAAACTTCACATTTGTCGTGTCCTCAGTAACAAAAGCATCACCAACTACAGAGAAAGAAGATGGGTTGAGTCATTGTAAATAGTAAATATTCTTGAGAAAAAACTCAAACACGTTTGAAGAGAAAAAATCATGACAAGCAAACTTGGGACGGACAGTTTATCTAACAATCCTCTTTTCTAAAGCTTGAAAAGCGAAGATAGCGAGCTTTGCAGCTAGATGATTGGTTGTAAAATTTTAAATGTAAGACTCCTAATCAACCAATGACAACTTATAACATATTCATATGTCTAATTTGAAGATACATATTCTGAGCACTGTTATATGTGTATACATGAGACTTAAGTGCAAGTCCAACAGATTGACAGTTATCAGGGGAACACCAAGAATCAGGTCTTCTGTAGATTTGACTGTGGCAAGAATGATTCTTTTCATACTTGATGGTACGACCAACCTGATATTAAAGGAGCAACAGAAGTTCTATAAAATACATGCATTGCTAGCTAAGATGTGTGTGCACACAAAAGGGAAAAAATAGATAGATCAGGTATCAGTCCCAATCGATTTCTCCACCCTAAAACTATTTTGATCGCACTTGGTCATCTAGATCCATATTTCAGGCAAGCCACTACCTAGCTTTTTGGGTACTGGAACTGTGGTTGGTGCAACACAAGATGTTGATATGCACATGTTCCAGACAAAAGGTGTGATTCAACGACAGGTTGGAGTGTTGAATATGGAACAATTTCCATATACCACTGATCAAGGTGGGTTATGACATAACTTTCACTTTAGAGGCTGATGAAGAATTTATACCAGCCATCCCACCACTTGAGATTGATCCCAACGAACAAGATGATTATGGCAATGTGGCAGAAGACAAGACTGGCAATAATGGTGTTCGTAGTCTGTCAAAGAAACACAAAAGTTCAGAACCTAAACAGAATGAGCACAACGCTTCATCATCAGGTCTAGCTCCCATGCAAATAGCAGAACACCTTTCCTTAAAACTGCTCTTGCAGCAAAAGTTAGTGCTCCAGAAGTCAGCTGAGTACAATAGGGGGAAGCTGAATACAATTCCTTTTCCAGCTGCTAAATCCACTTCTTTTTTAGCGCCAAGCAAGGTTGGTTTTCCTACTATGGACCAAGCTGCTTCCTTGTATTCAGTGGCTACACATAAGCCTGTGCAGGTGCTCTCTCCCCAGTGACAGCTCACAGGTTTGCCTGTGGGATCCCCATTGGTGACTGATATGCTAGCTGCAGATACAGGTGCTACTCCACCAGATTTTCTGCGTGGGGATCACAAGACTGCTACTGGAATCCTTTGTTCACCAAACTCCAGCACTCTGCTCCCAGTATTGCTGCTTCTCCTAACTGGATTGTTGTGCATGGATCTACTGATGTAACACACTAAAAATGATTTTTCTAGTGAGTAAATAATTTTGCCTTGTTTATTTTAATTTTCTACGATTTTACATAGGCCAAATAATATTTTTTCACATAGGAGTTTCAACCTGCACTTATATTTTATAATAAAGGACAACATAAAGAGCAGACAACACCTTTTCCCCTTTCTGATTAAGATGGATAGAGTCAAAGTTCTAGCACACCCTGTAGCAGTCAGGCTACATAGATTTTGGACAACAGGAATATACGCCCTTAGGAATATCCACTCAGGCCAGAGATGCTAAACATGGAACAGAAACAAGTAGAGAGCATAAAAGAGGATGAAAACTACTGTTAGTCAAGTATCCTCCTGAATATAGATAACGTGAGTATGTATGAATCGGGATATGAATTGGCAAGTTCTTTTGGCTAACGTCTCAAGTATTAGTGCTCATCGAAGAGATATGAATTGAGGCCACTGGAAATTGCACCAGTTCATTCAAGAACTTAGATCTGATTCGGTGACTCATGCTGTTGGATAAGTATGAAGCGAACGCCTTATCTCCCTCAAGAGTGCCCCAAGCCCCCAACCAAGCAAATTCCTCCCATGCTGCATCACCAGTTACTCAAATCTAATTTTTCTACCTTTTTTGAACATCCAATCATTCAACATCAGTATCTACATTAACATAATTTCAAAAAGTAAGAACCTAATTACCTAAAGTTAGTAATTATACCCCAAGTTCGAACTGAAGGGAAAATTGGGAACCAAAACTTGCAGCAACCATAAATAGATGAGTCACAGAGACCCTAACCTGCGCCGCCCCCCGCTGCACAGGAGACCGGCAGCCACCGGGCACCACCGCCCCCGCTGCGCGCGACGCGGCAGGCCAATCCGCTCTTGGAGGCCGCCGCATGCGTGTGGACCCGACAGTGGGTGTGGGAGCCAGCGGCGGGAGTCAATAACGCGGGGAATGCCTGCGCGCAGGGAACGACGGACGCCAAATTCATCATGGCCGTTACCGCTGCTCGCCCGGCGATCAGGGACCGAAGTGAAGTGGAGACTGGAGACCGCTGGTGAGTGGCGAAGGATGCACGTGGCCTTATCTGCAGTGTCTCCATGAGGGGGCTCCTTTGCATACCCAAACGGCCAAACCCAAGCAGGCTGCTGTGCTGTAACCGCGCCTGGGCCGAATCGGTGCCAATGGGCTGGGCCGAGCCCATGGGGGCCCTTTTCTTTTAGTTAATATTAGATTCCCTAAAAAAAGTTAATATTAGATTTTACCTTTTCAGTTCAAACTGAAATCTTGTGAAATTCAAAAATCAAATCAAAATCTAAAAATAGCAAACCAGAATTCCGTAGACTTATTATACATAGATCTAAATAGTAAAAATATTGGTACAAGTGAAAGGACTAGTTTAACCCTTTAATAAAATAGGTCAAAATTGTCCATAGTTATTTTAGTCATGCTTTCATATTCATCCAGAACTTACGATAAATTGATAGTATGACCACATCACTAACACATTGTCATACTAATAGTTTCAGACCCAAAAAAGTTCATATAGATGTGTACATAAACAAAATAGGGTTTTTGTTATTATTGTTATATTTTTGTAGGAAGTTTTTTTTCCAAATAAATCATAGAAAACTTACAGTAAGTTAGTGGAACACTATAGTAAAAGTTTCACGCTGAAAGAAGCCAAAATCAGGGAAATATATATGGATTGTGTTTCTAATGTAGTATTTTTGTATGTTGCATATGTTATCCAAATGTTGTGAAATTATACATTAGTCTTGTTATTGAGGTATGATGTTACTATGAATTTGTCATATCGAGAAAACATAGGATCTTATTACTTATTTAGCTTATTCAAAATGGATAATGGTAGTAAATGAATTAATACTTATTTTCACATGTTCATTAGTTAATTTTGTTTTTTTCTCTCGAACGTGTTGTAGCACGTTTTTCATTAAGGGCCCGTTTGTTTCCCTGGAATTGAATCTTATTCTAGAAATGAAATTCTAGTAATTAGATTCGATAGGAATTGAATTACTGGGAATCTGATTTATTTCAATTATCTTGTTTGGATGTACGTGGAAACTCATTCTTAGAATTACATTCCAAATGTTGTTTGGATGCTCAAATATTGAAATACATTCTGAACAGGGTGTGCGACTACTACACTCCAAAGAGGGTTTTACCTATATACCATTAAAAAAGATGGTCCTTACCTACAAGCCACTAAAAAGTTCGAGCGCATCTAGGTGCCACTCACCTAGACTTTTTTGTCGCCCAAGGCATTCCGTTCACTTTTGCCTCTAACGGTATCAAACCGCGGTGAGAAAAGTCTAAAATTCCCTCGAGTCTGAACACCGTGCAAAAGTTCACCGTTCCTCTGGTGCCACTGACCCTCAGTGCTAATATAAGGATTATAAGGTAGTTGGTTTATTAGCCGTCGATCATTTGTGCTAGCAAAGGAAAAAAAACAGAAATTATGTACGTGTACACGTACGAAGAAATCAAGAAAAGACGCAAGCTAGCATGTTCATGGGGAGTTCACGTACAGAACCCTGTATCTTGTGCATGCCTAGTTTGACGAACGAAGGAAGTAGGCGAGCTAGCATGTGCATGCCTTGTTGGCGCCGGAGTCAAGATCGGCTTCCGGGCCGCAGCCGCGTCGTCGTGCCTACGAGATCGTACCCGCCTATGGTCGTAGCATCCGTCCTTTGCCAACGCCGGCAAAGACGGGACACTGAACTTGGAGTGCGCCCGCACGCAGCAGCTGCCGTTGCCAGTGGCATAGAGCCGGAGGTGGAGGGAGATGGAGTCCGAGTCCTTGGCGACGTCAGTGCCGCCCGCCGACGTGGAAGCGGCAGGAGGTGATGAGCTCGCCGCCGGGGACCATATTGACATGGGCACGAAAAGTGACATCTGCATGAACGTGTACGACGACTTGCTGCTGCCGCACGGCGCCGTGCCACCGGCAGCGGACATGGACATGGAGAGCATGAAAACTGCTGCGGCGGACCTCGCGTCTGTTTTCGTCGCTCCTGCAAGCGCGGACCTCGCTGCCGGCCACGCATGGCTCCCCCGAGACCGCTCCAGCCCCGACGCCGGAGCCTCACCACCGGCCGCTGCCCGCGCGACCTTGCTGGAGTCCGTTGCCCGCTGCCAAAGCTCGCGCGGACCTCGCCGCCGGCCGCGACTTCCCGACGCCGGTAGTGCGGGCGCCGCCACGAGCACCCCGCCCCACCCCGCGGATGCGCGGGCCGTCCTCGACGTGGCAGCGAGAGCGCCCGGCCCCACCCCACCCCGCGGCCGCGCCCTGCCCCGCCGCCGCGCGCACGGGCGTTCACCCAGTGCTGCTACTTGTTGAATTAAAACTAGACTAAACGGGATCTTAACTTAACCTAAATATGAACACTAACTCATCTTAATACGAAAACTAATCTTAAATACTGACCAGAGCATATGAACGCCATCTGTGTCGCTGCGACTGGACGTGGGTAGACGGCCTTCTTAAACCCTCTAGCGTATAATCGATCGGTTACGTGAATACTCAGGTGGATTAGAGAGATAGTGATGCTAGGGGCGCTTTTCTTATTTATAATCGTGTTGTGGGTCAGGGGGCCAAATCCTTAGAATTCTAAGGGTTGCCGTCGATCACGGCATTTTTTATTTAGTTGAAAATAAATGACCAGTGGGTGGACAAAAGCTTAACGCTTAATTAATCTCGTAATTAAGTTTAGGATTAGCCAAACCGATCACATTCCAACATTCTCCCACTTGATCGAACGGCTAATGCAATTATGCAACTAATATTCACTTTACTCTTATGTTCACATGCAGTACTACAACAAGACCAGACCAATGCGTCGTCAGTAGCATTAGTCGTCACTGGGACCCCATTACCCATAGTTTATTGCAATACCTTGTTAAAACGCTTATTACTTATTGGGAGTACATGATCCTATTACCAGAAATCAAGTCAGAGACTACACTAAAACCCAAATGGATTTGGGTGCTCATAAATGGGTTAGGGTTAAGACTCAAATAATCAAATATGCTAGCATCGAGCTTAGTTTTTATTTTTCTCAAGCTTAATAATCTAATCATGTGTTCTTTCTTTCACAACATTTAATCAATGTGCTTGGCATCAACATTTGATGTGTCGTTACTCGAAATAATACTGCAACTCAACTGTAGGGCTATAGCAGTATGTCAATACTCAACATTGGGATAATATCTCTTAAGCCACGTAGCCTGTTGTATTCATGCCACTAATTTAGCTCATCTTAAAAACTAATTATATTCGGAGCTTTCAATAAAATTGTTCTTTTCTGCAAGAGTAGGTAAAATCTAATTGTGCATTTTCTTATACATACTCAAGAGAATTGGCAATCGACTAACTCTTAATTCTTATAAGTGACCTGATGATTATTTTGGTGCCTCATCAATAACTTAAAATTCTTTAGCACCTTCTAGTGGACCTATTCTATATTAATAAACTAATATTTTTATCAAGTATCTCAATATCAAGTCTAAACTAGTATTGACTTGAGCATTCTTAAAGTTAATGGCAGCCGAAGCATATGGAATGTTTTTGTCCTCAACTGTTACTAACTTATTTTTAGAATTATTTGGGATAATTAATCTTACTGCGTTGTGCAACTGCACTATGCAAATAGACAGGCGTGTCATTGCTTATTCAAACTCTATCACTTAAGCATTCATTTGTTATGCCTTTTGTGATAGTCCTAGTACTCAATTGGTTCCGTATTGGTGTATCTCAATAGCCAAAAACTTAGAGGCTTCATCAAAATATATCATATTAAAGATTTGGGAGAGTAAAAAACTCTTATGTGACATTCCTATTGCCACATAACTCAACTTCACCCATGTAGAGTATTAGGACAATAAACTTTTTCATATTTTTTATAAACATAATTGTCCACTTAATGAAATTCTAAACCATAGTAGGATATGTTCTTAATTTAAATCTTTTAAAAGTCTCTTTGAAGTCACACTTAGAATTGTAGACCCTTTTTATAGCCTACTGGTTTAACTTCATCAGGAAACTTATTAACACCCACACTTTATATACACTTATGGACCTAAGCTCATAAAATTGCTTAGTTTAGAATAACAAAAAATTCCTCTTCTGATGTGATTGTCTTATAGATTTATTATGGATCACAAGCAGTTTAATAACAATAGAGGTTTACTTATGTGCCTAATTATCAATTAATGGTTGCTACATATATCTGTTGTGGCTTATTAATTGACTCTTGAAAATTCATAATAGAAATTGTAGTAATTTAAATGGAGGTATACTAATGACTTCTGGCACAAACTGAGATATTTATGTCTTCTTGAGTCATTGATACAGAAAACTAAGCCCGTATCTCTCCAAGATTTAATCTTCCTCCTTTGTGAACTTTCACTAGCTCCCACTGATTTTTGCATTCTTTAGGCACACATTCATCAAATCTTAACTTAGTGAAATAGTTATAACAGTAGAAATGTAATCTCTTGGACTTTGCTCCCACTGATTTCTGTGTTCTCAAGAAACATAATCAGGGTGGTGCCATATGGATAGCTCATTTACTTAGAATATCATTTCTTATCCTTAGCTAGACTGTAATTATGTCTTGCTGAGGTTTTGCCCAATAAAAATTTTGTGGTCAAATATTCATCAATCAGCGTTGGCCAGAATGACAAATATAAGGTATATAACTCTTCAAAAACAAGCTCTATGAACTAGTCTAATCAGTGTTGGCCAAAATAAACTAGAACAAGAAACTTGGTGGACATGCAAACACTAATCACCGTTGGCCAGAAATAGTGAAAGCAAACCATACTTCAATTAGAGACTAATGTTAGGCTAAGGGACAAAACTAGTATGTTTTTTTTTATTTCTCAAGTCCCATGCTTTGTAGTCTTATTTAAATAGAGTATCTCTTTCCTAATGAGACAGTCCATTCTTCCCTTCGAAATATGGCTTAAACAGTAGTGACACAATTTTGACAAGGTCTCATCATCTTGACTAATGATTAACTTAAAGATAAAACTAACATAAAGAAAACTCTTACTGTAAATAAATCTCTTTGCCAACTAATAGGATAAATGATAATTAATAGAATAAATTTGATGTATTTATAAACTCCAAACTCAAGAACATTTGTTCAAATACAAAGTATCTCGTACTAAGATGACATA